AATGGACATTTTTCAACTTATATTCTTACAATTAGGCATTCTTAAAAATGCCCCAAAAATTAAATTGAAACATTGCCCCCACGCCAACAACTCCACGCAGGAGTGAGTTTTGTCAGTTCAATAACTCAAAGTTCCAGTTTTTGTAGGTCAAGGTGAGAGAGAATATGCTTCTAGTCAACATTTCGAGCACCGAGTTCTACGGCGCTGAGTAACCCATTCCATACTCCCAAAGAAAGCTCAATCGATCATTGAACAACCCACCCATTTCATATTCCCAAAGAAAGCTCAATCGATCATTGAACAAAAGGTACAACCCATGCGGGTGGGTTGGTGGAGAATACCGACACGGGTGATTAGTAGAGAATATCTACGTCTCTCTAAGGAGAAGAAAAATCATGATGCCTTCAGAAATCGTTGCGGATGTACTATCGCGCTTACCAGTGAAATCCCTTTTGAGATTCAGGTGTGTATGTAGATTATGGTGTTCTATTATAGACAGCCAAGTTTTCGTCAAAATGCATTTGCATCAATCCATCACAACAAACTCAAATCACAGCCTGATTCTCGGAGGCTTGGGACTTTATTCTGTAGCTTTGGATTCACTCGACAAAGCCCATGTCTTGAAAACCCCATTTTATTACAAGAGTGTTGATGACATATCCAACTCTTGCAATGGGTTAATTCTTGTAATGAGTGAGCCTCTTATTTTGTGGAACCCTTTTTCCACAAAATACCGGATTTTACCTGACAACCCGATCAAGTATCCAACTCCTCTGTCGTGTTTTTCGAAGGTTATATATGGATTAGCTTATGATTCGAGAAAAGATGATTATAAAGTTGTTCAGGTTGTTGAATTTAGGAACAAAACTAGCCATATCTGGGAATGCTCTGAGGCTGAGATTTATAGCATGAAATCGAATTCCTGGAACAGGATTGAGGGTTTTTCTTATCCACTACCCATTTTGAAGGGAAAATGGGGGATACACGTCAATGGGGCACTGCATACACTTGTGGAGGATTATTTCCACATATATTCGGACAAATCAATTAGAATTATGTCTTTTAGTGTTGAGAGTGAGAACCACTACGAGGTGATGTTGCCACCAAATTTTCGGATCAAGAATGTGAAATTGAAGTTGGATGTGCTGGGAGGATGTCTTTGTTTAGTTTGCACTAGCAAGTTTGGTGCTAGTATATGGGTGATGAAGGAATATGGAGTTGAGGAATCTTGGACTAAATTGATATCAATTGATTCTTCAACTATTGACCCAGATGGCATTTTGCGTCCTTTAGCTTATTTGAAGCCATTGGCTTATTCGAAAAACTGCGAAAATGTTCTTTTAGCTTATGATGACAAAAGGCTTGTTTGGTACAATTTTATAAGAAAAACTATCAAGAATGTATCTGTTCGTGGGTTGCCTTTTTTGTTTTTTCCTGAGGCTTGTGTTGAAAGCCTTATTTCTCCTTGTGGCCCGGTCTGGAGAGAGGGTGACGAGGTCAAGAAAAGTGCACAAGACAAAAGGAAGGAAAAGAATAATAAGAAGAACAGGTAAAGCAACTCTATATCTTAGTATTGACTTGCACTAGTCAATTTATTTTAAATGGCTTTTTTTATCTTATCTATTGTTTACTTGTACTTGGTTTCTGGAGTCAATTGCATGTTATTTAAGTTGTTTGGAGTCTCTTTAATGTAAATGTTAAAATGCCATTGATATATGTAAAATTTGTTGATTAGTGTAAATTGGACGATTAAAACATTTTCTCTTTGCATCTAGACAGTTTTAACTTAGCCTGAAATTCAATTTCCACGTCTATATATGGCTGGTGAAGGAATCTGGAAGTGGAAGTGAAGGAATCTTGGACGAAATTGATAATTTGATATCAATTGTTTCCCGGACAATTGAGGTGGATGATAATTTTAATCCTTTGATTATTTGATTTGATTAGTGTATTTGTAAAACGGTGAAAAGGTTCTTTTTAACTTGTGATGACAAAAGCCTTGTTTGGTATGTTTTGAGTAGAAAAATTGTCAAGATTGTCTCTGTTAGTGAGCTGCCCATGGTCTTCTATCCCGAGGTTTGTGTTGAAATCCTTGTTTACCCTCATGGTCTGGTCCCAGGGAAAGACGATAAGGGGGTTTTTTTTGGGGGGGGGGGGGGGGGGGG